TAGGTGGTAGTTCTTCTGGTATTTGATCAGGGAAAACATCAGAGTATTCATCCAATAGTCGTTGGACAGTTGCTACACAGACTGTGGCTCGGTACTCTCCGCTTGTTGGCTTGCATGAGACTCTGACCTTCTGATCTGGGAAATCGATGGTTGATTCCCTACACCTGATTATAGCTTTGTGGCGGTTCAGGAATGGCATACCTATTAGGGCATCGTATTCGGCTAGATTTCCAACCAGCATTTCCTGGGGGGGTAGTACAGCAGAACCAAGTCGAATAGTCGCACTACAAGTTTTATGGCTTGTGGATCGTGATCCTTTTACTGCCATATTGACTGGTATGGGTTGGTTAAGGTCTCGAGTTGGGAGTCCATGGACAGAGACAAAGGCATTACTGATCATATCTCTTCCGATAGCGCCAGTGTCGAATAGGACTCGAGCCTTTTTGCCATTGATCAGAATAGTACCTTCCCGGGTCATGTGTGCTTTGAATGTAGCCAGAGGTCAGACACTGTTGCATTCCACATCGATATATCCGATATGGATCTCCTCATATTCGCTGGATTAGGTATTATCACTTTCAACATTGTTGGCCGATGCCTCTTGCTTAATTGCCTTTCCTTTCTCTTTCTTCGTAGGGCAGTTCTTTGCCATGTGTCCTGTTTTTCCACATTCAAAACATTCCCCTTTCTGTCGTCTCGATTCTTTGGAGGATTTTGTTTTCTTCTTGAAAACCCGCGGGGAATCGTCTTCAGAGTTGCTGGAGGCCTTGTGCCGTGGCGAGCTATTCCTACTAGAGGATGTCTGTGTTTTGTAGGCCTTGGTCTCATGGAGAATGGCATCCTTTCATTCTGCTCTTGCAATTATTACTGCAATATTATCGCCGTCTTCCTCGAGTGGTTCTACTTTTCGCCGGAGGGTAGGGTGCATAGTGTCATAGAATCGTGGCTTCAGGATGTATTTGGAGATACTTCCTTTCTCCATTCGGTCCTTATACATCATCAGGTCCGTAGCCACATCGGTGATTCTCTTGACATGCATTCTGTTAACTTGCTGGAGCTGGTTGAATTTGTTGTATAGGAGGACGTTGGTTATAGAGGATTGGAATCGTCCTTTCAGGTAATCGAGAACTGTAGTTCCTTTTAATCTTACATTCCCGCCGTATTCCTTATAGCATTGGTGGTATGCATTGGTTGCCTTTCCTTTGCAAAATGATCCAATGTATAGTCCGGTTGTAGGGTCTTCCATATCTTTCCCTTGCAGGAGAAGATAGTGTGTGAGTTCCCTCACCCATCAGTCAAAGGCTTCGGGTTTGAGGTCTTTTCCTTCTCCTGTAAACTTTGCTGGGAGGTGGAGTTTAAACTTAGGAGGTTCAAATACTGTGGGTACCTCCTCTTCTTCAGGCCTAGCCCGAGATTTTCCTCCTCCAGAGGGCCCTCCTCCTATGCTAGCCATATCCGATTCGCTACTGGATTCGGGGTCGATTGGAGGTTCCAAGGAAGGCTTCTTTGCTGGAGTAGGAGAGAATTCTCCTGGAGGTTGTGTGTCTTCCATGTTTGCAGGATCGCCCGGCTCCTTAGCAGAGCGCCGGGGTTGTTTCTTTCTTGTAAGGTCTTGCCGTGGGATTTGCTTCCCACTCCTGGTCGTCAAAGACTCTATCTTGGATTTGAGATGAAGCCGAATGTCCCGTGATTCTGCCACTTCTCTCCGCTAGCGTTCTAAGGTGGATATCAATAGGTGGATCAGGCCTAAATCCGGGGACAGGTTCTTAACTACTTGCTGAGGTTAAAAAAATGTAACGTGTTCGCAGGGTGCTAATCACGTTATCAGTAATAAGTACAATAGTTGGCAGGTGGCCTGCTCTTCCAGAGAGGAGGCGAGAGCTGAGAACTAAGGGAGGCTTCGAGGGTGTACTAGGGAATAAAGAAGCAACCATTCAACCAAGTATATTGAAATACTGTCTGTCCAAGTCTGCCTTTTCTATTGTAGAAACAGGCGGTCTTTAAATACACAAATCTGTTCATGTCTAGCATGAACGAAACTAATCAAAGGTATCAATCGATACTCTTTTGGTAAAACTCTTTAAGTATCAAAGTGATACTTAAAACAAAACATAAAACAAAACCAAGTATCAAACGATACTTAAAACAAACCAAGTATCAAAGCGATACTTAAAACAAAATATAAAACAAAACCAAGTATCAAACAATGCTTAAAACAAACCAAGTATCAAAGCGATACTTAAAACAAAACATAAAACAAAACCAAGTATCCAACAATACTTAAAACAAACCAAGTATCAAAGCGATACTTAAAACAAAACATAAAACAAAACCAAGTATCAAACGATACTTAAAACAAACCAATAACCGAGTATCCGTACCGGTTACATAGTTGCTCTAAGTAACAGGGTTTCAGTCACCATTCTACTATTGGGAATTATTCCTGCAAGTACAAAGCTTTCTGAGACCCAGTTGTAACACTCCATAAAGTCCATTAGCTTCTGTAGTAGTATTCCTCAAAGTTCTAGATTCTTCTGGTTATTATAGGGTGAGTGCGAATGTATTGGAGTCTCATTGAGATCTTTTACCATTTGATATCATCTCTTAGTCCAAAAATCTCCTTTTACCTCCGGCCCATACCCAAGATGTTCCATCTTTAAAGCCTAGTAATCCTCTGAGTAGTTGACAGACTTACTCTCTTCCACTTCCCAGACCTAGCTGAAGGTTCCCTCTCATATATCCTGTGAACAGGATCCAGCTAGAAGGATGGCAGTGACCTATACAGTGTTATTCTTATACCTTCAATTCTGTGGTATTATAGTCACAGGACGTAACTAAAATTAATATGTATGATAACACGCAGGCCCCGTCAGGAGGATGGAGGCAGGTGTTAGAGACTAGAGATTCTGATTCTGAGTAGGGTTACCCTACTTAGGGTGGTTCCTAGATATCGGATCCTGGTATTCCTAACACTATTACAGTAACCACTTCCTAAATACTTGAACTTACTAAAGGGAGAGAACAGTACAGTTTGTAGATAACCACCCCTTGATCTCTCCTGATCCCTTTTGGAAACCAAGTTTCATTGAAGTTGTAATAATCAACTTCTAAGATTCCCTTCACCAAGTGAATTTCATTATATTGAACAAACTAATCCTAAATGTCAACTTGATATGCTCTTTTTTGGTTGACATCCAAGGTTTTAAAGTTTCTGCCTCTCAACAAGGTACTTGGGATGCCTTTCGAGAAATCAATGTGTCCTCATATGACCTTTAGTAGGTGCAGGAGCAGAGGAATCAAGATATAAGTGAGCAAGAATGGAATTTGGATATGTACAGATTAGGTGATATTTTGGAGGAACATCTAGTTGATCAAGCCTGTTCATATAAAGAGAAAGTGCAAGCTCCTGATCACGTATCAATTTACTGTTGGTGGATACTCATTCTTGTTGTGATTGCCGACCTTTCAAACAGTACAGACATTGTTCAAGAACCTCAAACTCTCATGCTACAGCAGCAATGTTTGGCTTTTCATTGCTAGAAATCTTTTTAATTGCTTGCTGGATTCAGGCTTCAATATCAAGATATGGTTCAGGAAGTTTGATGTGGTTTGTGGTGGACAGATTGAATGTCAAAGTCAAATCAATTATGATGTGATGGCAATTCTATCGTTGAACTGTTTGGCACTCCTTGGGAGTGCCGCCTTCTTCGAAGGTCGCTTAGCGTCTTCGAAGGGGTGGGAACCTTGGAACGGTTACCCAAATATTGCGGGCTGGGTGGAAGAGTGTAGAAGGGTCGAGTGCAATGGGGAAAGGTGAGATAGGTATTCGTAGATCAACCTCGTTGCTGCTCCAAATGAACTCGGGTCGATCTGGTGTCGGAAGCTAAGGTGATGTCATGACGCTTGGTGGTGGTAGTTATGCTACCGGTAGTGGAAGCTGGGGCAGTGTAACACAAGGGCCATGTTTTGGGATGCGCAGTAAAGAAAATCTAGAGCAGTGACTTAAGGGGGTGTTTAACATGGATTTTTATCCTTGTTTCTATCTCAGCGCAGGGCGGGACCTAAATGTCTGGTATAGACAATGTTTGGGTAGGAGATTGGATCAAGGCCATGGCTTGCCGGGAAGCTTTAATGGATATTTGGCCTTAAAGGTGGTCAAATTGAGCGGATGTCTTAAGTGCAGACCCGCCAAATAGCTCGTGAACCTGCTCAAGCAGTACTGCTCGTGGGAAGTCCTTTCATCTGTATGAAGCAAGTGGAAGCCTATCTCAACACCTGAAACCCTTTGAATTTTAGGCCCCCGTTTTTACTGTACATTTAACTGACCTACAGTGTTTAGCCTTGAGTTTCCCTAGCCGATTGCACTTTATGATATGGCGTAGGAGTCGAGTGGGCTAAACTCGAACGCAGAGGTTATTGTCATCATACGGGAGTAGGTGGAAGAGCTGTGGTCTCGGAAATAAGAGTTGCCTACTTCCGGAGGTTGCTGATGGGGGTCTGTTTACCGGCAGGTAGACATCCGAATGCCTAGGCAACGTCTTGATCATAAGCTAAAAAGCAGGGTTTATGATGATACTCAGTGCTTATCGAACAGTGTATTGACAGACTTGGGAGGATATAATTTACTGCACCGACGAACCGATCCTTCTATGATGTTCCGTGCATACTCGAGCGCAAGTCTCATAGGCAGATTTTTGGTCTGCATACATCAAACTTCACTTGCTGACAAGCGCGGCTAAGTTATATATTCTGCAACAAGGCTCTTTAAGCACTGAAAGGCAACAGCCGTATCCAGTGCCCAATCGGAGTTCTTTTGACTAATCTGACGGGGGATTTATGTTCGGGGGGACTTCCGGTGCTGTAACCAGTAGCTGTACGATATATTTCAAAGGGATGACAGAGGAATGGGCTGTGAGTTCCAGCAGCAGAATTTGATAGATCCCTGTTCGCAGAGTCCTTGCTGATGGAGAGGTGCTGTGGCAAGGCCTCGGCGACAACAGAGGCACCGGCACCAAAGACCCGCACCATACCGATGCTGTGGTACACCGATTAGGCTGGGGGTGATTAGTCTAACCCGAACGGAAGTCATGTTCAATGGTAAGTATTCAAATTTGGTCAATTGTCCACTGCGCTCGAGTACTGTACAGTACTCGTACTACATTTGTGAGTTATTTACTTCGCCACCGTATCCCAGGACGCCGAAATACGAGGGATCTTAGTCTACCCAGCGTGGCCAGCAGTAAACGGAGCGAGCTAGGCAGTAGACCACCAGTAAATCAGCCTACAGGTACTCTGCTCGAGTAGAACCTGTTGGTGGTTGCCAAGACCCCGCCACAGCACTCCTCCACCAGCGAGGACTTTTAAGAGCAGGAGTGTACAGTACAGTACTCGAGTAGGACATATGGTAAGACAGTGCTACTTGTACAGTACTCGTACACTGCACAAATGCTTTCAGAGGGGAAAAGACAACTTCCTGGCTAAGGTCATAATACTTGTATTATTATAGACGATGTGAAGCATCGGTAATATGGTGTCGGGGCAACCCCGCCAGTGACCATCCGAGCCTCGAAGGGAAAAAGCGGGGCTTGAGTTATCTACCGTACGACTCGTACAGGTGGCTTAGACCACCGCCTCCACGCGGCAATGACTTGCTTCCAACGTCATGACAGCGGGCCTTGCGCGGCGAAATCCAAGCAAACATTTCAACCCCACCAAAACCCCGAAATCATCTTCCACTCCGTGAGCCCCCGTTCCCCTTTCCCATTTTCTTCCCACCGCTGCTTTATAGCTAGTAGTGTCCTGTTTATCTCCGCTTCTTTTAATCTTTGGGCCCTTCGCTGTACAGAGTTGCTCCTCAGGATCACTTCTAACCCCGATATCTCTTGGCTTGTCTTCATGGCCGCTCTGGTTGAGGCTCTTAAGTCACTCTCGCCAACCAGCGTTGACTCGTTGCCACGTGAGGATGACTTGGAAGGTTATTTGGCCAACTCTCTTCGTGATGCCAGAGTTCTTATCTCTTCCTTGCCACCGAGCGAAGAAGGGGTTCCGACTGAACTCGGGGGAGTGGAGGAGTTGCGGAGGGAATGGAGGCCCATCAACTTGTCCGCGAAGGAGAACCCCTTGGGAATCCAAGTGTTCAAATTACAGTCCAGGGATGGGAAGGGGGCTTGGTTTGCTCGGAGGAGTGTGCATGCCGGGATAGGATTCAAGAGATTTAGGGCAGGCCTCGAGAGAGAGTTTCAGCAGGGTGATGGCAAAGGCGTTAGGGAAGAGAGAGGGAACGTAAGAGGTATCGGGCGCGAGAGGCAAGTTGAGAGGAAACGGTGTAAACTTGGTCGGATTGAGGGTGCTTTTCTTCCCCTCTCTTTTCCGGAATCGTGTTAATAGTGATCTAGTGAACTACTTGTCGGCACAATTCCCCGGGCCTTCGGCTCCTAGAGATTTTGTAACCGCATGTCTGACATCCTCCGCAAGCCCAGAAGATCTATCGCAGCAGAGCCAACCCTACGATAGCCCCCCAACCAAGTCCCGGCAATTCACGATGGTATCGCGTCCACTGACTGACCATCCGGAGTGTGCCGAACGCCAGGGATACGTGCGTGGACAATACGAATCGGTCGAATTCATCCGAGAGATTCCCGCAGAACAGAATCTACGCATTAACCGTCGCGACGGGTCTGTTCTGCCCGTGGTGAAGCGGGTTTGGAGCGTACCAAACCTGTTGGAGGATAAGGGGCGAGTTGACCACGGGGGAAGAAAACGGGGACAGACGATCGCTTTCGCTGATGGTGCTAAACCGGGAGATCGCGAAGAATACACACCCAGAGGCAGTATAGATAGCGCGAATATGCCGGTGGAAGACCCCGAAGAGAAACCCGTGGAATGGATTATGATCAGTCGTTCTGATCCCGGTGGAAGTGTTCCCAGGTGGATGGTAGAGCGCGGCACCCCCGGATCTATTGTCAGAGATGCCGAGAAATTTCTAGATTGGGCCGAAAAGCATGAAGATCTAGCAAATGACTATCCAGAGGAGGAGGAAGCGAGGGAAGCCGATGCTGGAGCCAGCCTGGGTGGATCTGATGAACTGAGAGAAGGAACGGTACCTGGTCAGCAAAAACATGAGGAGTCTAAACAGGATATCGGTGCGCCGGATCTGGATTCTTGGGGAGGAGAGCGAGCAACGGGCGGAGGCCTAATTTCTTCAGCTGTCAACACCCTTTCCACTAGTGTAGCTGCTGTCGTGCCCTCAGTAATATACACACCGAGCACAACAGTAGCCTCCTCCCCTGCTCCCCCTGGAACCCCGACGCATTCGACGGGTTTCACCCTCGGCAACGACGCCCCGGACGATAGATCCGATGCAGAATCGCTAAATACCTTTACCACCGCTATCTCAACAGGTTCATGTACAGGTAACATATCCTCACCTTCCTCTTCAGCATCATCAACCCACACCACCCCGTCAACTACCACCAGCCGACGCCCCCATACCACCCACGAAGAAAAAGCCCTAAATCGTCTTCTTCGCGAGAAGTCAAAGCTATCAGCGAAGTTGGCGAAGCAAATGGAAAAGGAGGAGCGGAAGCGATCGAAAGATGGAGAGAAGGAAAAGAAACTGCTAGAAAAACATTTAAAAGAGGTAGAAAAACGCGAGGACCGTTATCGCAAGGATATAGAGAAGGCGAAGCGGAGGGAGGAGAAACGGGAGAGGAAAGAGGGGAGGGATAGACGAGAGATTGGGGAATTGAAAAAGGTGGTAGAAGGTTTGACGAGAGAGAATCTGGACTTGAGAGCGAGAGTCGAGGAGTTGGAAAGGAAAGAACAGAGGGCTAGTGAGAAAGTGTGGGAGGATGTTGCCGTAGGCTCTAAAGCTTGATTAAGCCTTTCCTTTGTTCCTATCTTTTCGCCTTTGGTTTGTGTATTCTACAATGGGTTGGGCGTTGCGGGATGTGGATGGCTGGGTAGTTTATATCATACCTTGCGTGCTAGTATAACTTGACGGATTTTGATGGATGAGAAATTGAGAAGTCGTACTCGAGAACTCGCAAATCGCGTTTGCCCGATGTTAACCGAACAGTCGTGAGTGGTCTAATTGATGGACCTATTGGTGGAGTTGTGAAGATTTGTAAACCACTTGTGATTGGTTGTGTGGGTGCCCATGCTTGATTGGACGGGTGAAGGGTCGGGAAGTGATGTATCAACGCCCGACCAGCTAAATGTGGCGATGGGCCTAGGCTCTAGGTGCGGTATTACTCTTACCCGGTGAAGCATTCATTGCCTTCAGACTGGATTCCTCGGAATATTCTCCATAACTGCCCTGATATTATCACAGCGCCCGACTGATATTTCAGCGGTACAGTTGGTAGTCTGCGCCACTCCTCCGTTAGTCCCTCCATCAGCTAAGCTACGGTAGGTTTCTCTGGGCAGCCGCGGAGAAGGCGGGGCTCGGTTAGTGGAAGCATGCATAGATGGGGTCTACCACTGGTAGCCTCTGCCGCGATCATCAAAGGTCACTCACGGCGGGTGTCTATTATATTATTGGCTTTCGGCATCGGAATACCATGGGGTCTACGTCTAACCGGAGCAAGGGGAGGTTCACGGATTGGAATAAGATGGCATCGCAATTATCTAGAATAACACTCTAGCATGGCAAAATGAGGCATGTTTGAACCAGCAAAACAAGCTCGAGACATAAAGAGAAAGAGAGAGAGAGAGAGAACAATATTGAAATAGTGTCGGCTGTCACTTCAAGAAATGGATCCACATCCCCTTTTCATCGATTGAGTTCCTGCCAACACCAACCTGCCCTTCAATCCCCAGCCTCAACGCAATCTCCACAATGCCCGGTCCCCGATCCCTCAGCCTCTGACGCTCAATATCTAGCGTCGGTGACTCGACGAAAACCCACGGCTTGACAAGCCCGGGCACACTAACCGGTGTATCAACCGGCAAGCGTGCCGTGCCGAATACCTGCACAGGCGAGGAGTCCGTAATGCTGGAGTAGAGGTCCAAGTACGCCGCCTCCTGCCCATCCGGCACGAGGATGGTGAACTGCGCGATGCCCTTCACGCCGCTGAGATGCGTGGTGCGCTCCTTCGTCACATCGACGCGTAGGTTGCGGGGCGTGATATCATGGCACCAGAACGGGATCTCACCGCGACGACTGACACTACGGGGGGCACCGACCCGCGCTTCGCCCTTAGGGAATGTCACCTTCCAACGAACGTCTTTCCCATCCTGCGTCCGCTTGCGCCCGCCCTCCACCGGCTGGTCGTAGTCGATGCCTAGCCCGCCGGACTTCTGGTGGATGCGGCCGCGCAGGCCGGCGTAGTCGAAGGTGTCTTTGGGATTCGTCGTCAAGGCGAAGTCGATGAAGCCGTACTTTTTGTGGCCCCAAAAGTGCCCGCGCCGGAGGGAGGGGTTGTCGTCTATGAAGGCCACCAGCTCCAGGTATGTGCCGTCCTCGAAGATTATTAGCTTGTTCTCCGTCTTGCCGTCTGAGTGCCGCCCGCCCGGGGTTAGGGTGAAGTTGTTTGTTATCCAGGATGGGGGGTTGTGCAAATCGGCATAAGGGACCAGGATGACGACATGGTCAATCTGGGCTGGGGCCATAGCTGTGGTGGTGATGTGGTAGGGTGGGGAGGGTGGAAGAAGCCCCGGTAGAGAGCCAAGGTAACTGCGGAAAAAAGGAGGGAACGAGCGAAGTGAATTATCAGGGGATAGCCAGATTATATGGCGAATGTCTTATAAAAAAAGTTATACAAATCAGGAATGGAAATGGAAAGTTCAGTAATCCTTTGTCTTCGGGTTTGATACCAGGCCGTGAGGGCGGGAACCGGGAATATAATCAACAACACGAGCACAGTAGAGCCTCGCATCCGATCGCATCATTTCTTCCATGGATGGTGTTAAGCGGGTCATTATCGAAGGGATTTAGATGCGAAGGTCGTGTCCACAGACAAATTTGTCCAAGAAAACCGTCACCGCGTGGTGAATTTTTGATTGACGAAGTGTAGTGCAGTGGCCGACGTGCAAAGCGAGAACAGCGGCTATTAGCCTCCCGGTTCCTGGCTGGTGGCTGGCTGTGAAGTAAGTGAGGGTGAGGTGGAGGATGCGGTGGGTAGGTGGGTATGATAGGTAGGTAGGCAAGGAGGACTACATCGAAGGGGTTGGAGAGGATAGTCATGGTGTCCCGACGTTAGGGATAGATCAACCAACCAAAGTCTAGCCTTATGACGCCTTATTCCCCAACTCTTTCGCGACATCCGCAGTCATAGGCTATCTTTGGCCATGCGCGCATCCACGGACGGATACATACTTAAGTCCGGGCTAAGGACAACGGTTTATCATCCTTCCGCTAGCATGCCATCTTAACCATAAAATGTGGAAAAATAAAAAAAACCCTTGCCAGCGAGACCTACGTGTCCGAACAAGGTTTGGGTTATTTAGATCTCTAGTCGATTCTGAGAGCGTGTCTCTGCCGACTCATTGAATCTGATAAATTAGAGAGGTTCAGTGGCAGTGGATGTCGGCCGATGGTAAGCAAAGGGGACCTTCCGCCCAACACCTCTCTTATGCCCGGCATTTGCAGCTAGGGTGTGGTACGACAGGAAGACTTGCAGAATCCATTCCACTGACCGGTCATCCAATTTGGGGGGGGGAGCACCAGCTATATAGTGATATCCTACTGTCTTCGATACCGGGGCAATCATCAAGACGTGACAAATGTGCAAAACCCGACAGCACGTATACAACCGGAGACCACATGACTGTTACTGCACCCACTGATTTGCCTGAGCTTGGAAATTGTTCCCATCGAAGGCGATTCGGGAGCATGTTGAATAGATAAAGGGGGAATCGCGTGCACCGAAACAGCCTGGGCGGGAGGGGGGGTACTCTTGAGGTATCATGTTCAGAACATATCACACTTAATCACTCGTAGTTTCACTATACAAACTCCCATTATACATTTGATCTGGAAGCACTCGTAGTATGTGGAAGTGCTTTTAGCGCTCCCTTGAGTTCTTAGAGAGGGCGGTGGGTGATTGGGGAAAAAGTATCCACCAAAAACCAACACACCTGCGGAATTATATCACGGGTCCTCTCGAGATTGAGGATGGATTAAGCTTTCGTTGCATCCCTGGCTTCTAAAAAGCAAAGGGATATACTAAATATGGGGAGAGACGCCTCTTTTTTTCAAAACCCGCACAAGCCACTGGGAGCACAAGAGGCCAAAAAGCCGCTGAAGGTGAAGTGCCGGGCCAACTGATCGGATTATGAGCGAAGCTGATGAGGAGATTTGTGATAAAATCTCATACTGCTATTGCGTGGCTGTCCCATCGGGGAGAGATAGGCTGTCGGGGCCGGGGTGCTGGCGTACGAGTTGGGAGGCCGTAAAAACACGCGAAATCTACTATCCCTTCTAGTCGTGTGGTCCGTAGCACAGAGACAACAACTCCCGAGCAGCAATAGAGCCTTACTGGTACGGCACAATGAGATAAGCCCACTACACCTGTGGGACCCCGTTCCGGAGGCTCATGGTTTTGTGAACCTATCAACCTAAAGCCATCGTGGGGCTGGCGGGACAGACTTCAGCTTATAAGCGGATGATAGATGTCATGAGTTTCCGAAGTGGTGTTAAAAAGGTGGCCCTCCTTATTTGTACGGTGCTGTACAGATAGGAAACCGGAGAGCAAAATACGTTCCCAATCCGTAAAATATCCCTCTGCCGCTGAAATGTTCGGGCCAATTTGAAATATTGAGCGCTGGCTTATTTGAGTAATCGTGATAAGAAACTTCATTATCCAAATGTTTCTTTCGTGCTCAGGATATCGTAGAATCCTTCCGGCTCTCAGCACTGCTACGATAGAAACTTGAGAGTGCCCTGTATATTTACTTACCATTGCTCGAATGTGCAGTATTCAGCATTTTAAATGAGCCTGAATGTCATAGCAGCCGAGGGGGTAGTGTTAACAAAACTAAAATAACATTAACGAGCAATAATAATTTTTACCATAGAGGAAGCCACAAACCACTGGGGACCCCCCGTCACTCGGACGACAAGATCTGAGCGTGATACCCTCCTGTGGTAAACTTGACGAAATGCTGCAACTGAATCCCATGTGGTTTCGTCTACATTTCTCATTGGTAGGTTCTCGTAATTTAATGTTTGATGCATCGTAAAGTCCCAGTAGTCTTCAACTAGAGGATTGAGGAAGCTATTTACTGGGGTAAAAAAGCTGAATATCCTTTATGGAATCTACCATTACTACCAAGTAGATTGGGGAGGATTCCCCAAAAAAGAGTCGTCCCTGTCCTACTATCTGGGGCCGTGGCTGATTAGGGTACTGGGGGTGTTACGGGGACTTTGCGGATGCAGGAGTACAAATAACAACAACCCTCCCTAATGAATTCACCTGATTGAACATCAGCTAAAACAATTAATTAAATAAAATAATGCTATGCAGTGGTGGTTGACACTGAAAGTCTCTAAGTAAATATTATTATGGTAGGTGAATACTTTTGAAAAAAGGCAACGTGAGGACCATATAATTTTCATCACAACGTCATGACTAATGTCACCACTAATTTAATAGCTTAACCAAGTTGAGAGTGGCGTGATATCATACTTGCCTTTTCGTGGGTTTTTTTCGGAAGATCTTATCTTTCCCTAGAAGCTGGTAGCTGACCATAACCCACCCATAGTTCGAAAATTTCCCCACCAAAGGCTCTAAAAGGGTCGCAATAGACAATCTCCCCTATTATAGCAGACCGCCCCTGCTATATTAGCAAGCAGAAAGGGTAATATTGCAAGGGACTAGGCTTTATCGGAACTGGAGTAGATGTAATCGCAGAAATTCATACTTTATGTCTCAATCAATACCATTGAGCAGGGTTTGAGAGAGAAAGAGATTAAGAAGTAACTTATAAAGGAGGGAATCATCGTACCTCTAGTGCCGCCGGGCAAACCTGGACACCTCAAATCCGAAGGGCTAAGGAAATGAGGAACAGACCGAATCCGATATTAGGAACTTAATCGGACAGAGGTTGGTTGAGGAAGCCTATGATAATAGGTGTTGACCAATAATAGCGTTAGATAGATATGCATTAGGGACTGGTGGCCCGGGGGTGGTTGGAAAGGAGAACAGAGGGGAATGGAGTATGGAATAGGAAACCTGACAGAGAAGCGATGCGGACGAGACCGGGGATGAATGTGCATGCGTGGACGGACGGTGGAGGAATGATCGGGGGCAGTCCCCCTCTACTCGAGTACCGGCGGTAGATAAGTATCCGAGCCGGGGACCAGTGACAAGTTCTAAGACCCTTTTTGGCGCGATGCGATGTGGAAAAACATCATTTGATTGAGAACTCGATTTTTGCCAAAACTCCATTCCCCTTGACTAGGAAACGCAGGGGAACCCATATCAATTTAGGGCTGCCTTACCTATCGCTGTGGCGAAAAAAAAAATCTCACTAGGACGCCTGGAAGTTGTGCCATAACCAAAAAAGTGCATCGTAAAAATATTTTACCTGCAACCAAAATGATATAAAGTTAGAAAAACACACTTATTGAGTGCTAAACAGGGCCTAATAAGCTGGGTAAAAGAAGATAAAAATCTTAGGCCCTGTTTGGCACCACGACATTTGAGTGGGTTTGCATGTTTTGCTGAGTGCAATTTCCGAATAGTGGTTTTGCAGTTTCGAAACTGCAGTTTGGGAACACCTTGGTTTAGGGCAACGCTCAGTTCAATTACCCTACTTTAACACCAGTTTTACTTAATTAATGCGAATTAATTGGGATTTAACCTCTTCTCCTGGTTATTAATTTTCCCCTTCTTTGACTCAACTTTCAAAATTTATGACATCATACCCTAGGTGCTGAAAAACAAAAAAAATCAGCGGAATGGTATATCTGCTTCACAGGATGAGAACCCTCTGGTTACCAAATATTACTGATGAAACCTTTGAACCATAAGAAAATGCCTTACAATTGCAATCACTTTCAATCTCCAAGCTAGCTAATCAATCTCTTCGCACAAGACAAACCTCAAGAAAAGAAAACACCAGAGAAAAAAAATCCAACCTATCCTGATTGTCCAACTATCTAGCTACAGGACACAAATTCAAACCGTTTCCCCACTTTCCATACTCCTCTGTTGAAATGCGGTGGTCATGGTAGTAGTGGTGGTTGTGGTAAAAAGAAAAGAAAAAATAGGAGAAGAAAACCATGGCTATAGACTAAACTTCCACCCTCCTGTCCACCAAGCCCAGCAAACCCTTTCCTATTGAGAACATGACCTATTCATCTCTCAGTAAATACAAAAAATGTACAATTCCCCTTTCTGAGTAAAGAGCTAACTAAAATTATTATGATATGATATTAAGCTAAAGGTTTGCAAAACTAGCTAAAAATATGGTAAGAAAGTAAAACAAATTTCATCCATAACAGTACCTAGCAATCCATCCTCCTCAAATGTCATGGTACCAAACATGGCCTTATAAGTTATTGTTAAAATATATAATCCTAAGTTTTAAGACTTCTTTTGATCTCAGTAGACTCTTTCCTAACCAGCGAATTTATTACAGCTTGGAAAGCTCAAAAAGAAAATATGATGATATGGTTCCAGTAGACAAGTCTCTATACCAGTTTTACAACCAAAAGTATGATAATTTTAACTGTGACAGCAACTGTAACACCCCCTAAATTTGTTATCTTACCTCAGAAGTTCCAAAAATCCTAACACCTAGAGGCATAATTATATATTAATAATATAATATCTTAATACAATTAGTCAGGAAATATTATTATAACCTGATATCATTTTATTGTATGACTGACAGTAATCTATAATATATGAACTTCAGACTTGACTATTCGAGGATGTAAAGAGTATCATGTATACACATATCTCTTGAAATCTTCTGAACCATAGACTATATCATGTCGATATGCATCTATCATCCTGAGTGTTCACTGGTAATATTTCCAGATGAGCACATCAGGAATCTGGTCAAGTGCCGTAGGCACTGTTCTCACTAAAGACAGAAATGTATATTCACAATGTACTCATATATATACTTTAGCCTAACCCTAAAAGTACTCAATAA